GACCGCTGACTGCCCTCCATGGATTTGGTTCCGCTCCGTCCTCCTTCACCTCTTGCTCCTCCTCGCCCAACTACTGGCGGCATGGCGGCAAACGATGTCTCTGCCGGAATTGCAGAGTTGCTGCGCGAGCCACGAAGTGCTACCTTGAGAGAGAAAGAAACGAGAGCGCTGAGGAGCGCTCAGCTGAGCCCATAGCAGTAGCACAGCCAGCTCCACTGGAGTTTGAGCACAGCCAGCCCAGCGGCGAGCGGTGAACCACTCCGTCAGAGGGAGCACAGGCAGCACAGCCCAGCGCCAAGAGCTGATTCGTCGATCTCGTCCAACCCACGAGCCCTCCGACCCTCCCACCTCGGCCAGCCCTTGATCGCCGTGCTGGGCAGGTTCGCTTGGTCCTGCGCACCCCTCTTTCTCCCCATATGCCACGCAGCCTCTCCGCACTTTTACTACCCACACCCAAGACCCCGGCCACAGCCCAAGCCCAAGCAAGCCCAAGGCCAGACCGCCGCCGCACTGCTGCCAAGCGTTCCGACCCATCGAGATGGACGATTTTCGGGGTACGCCCTCCTTGTCCCCTGGTGGATCTTGGGATCACCTCAGCCATGCAGCCACCCACCCTGCAGCCACAATCACCCTGGGACGCGACTCTGCACGTCTGCACACTCGAGGACGCACCTGGAGAACGCGCGCACTGACTATGCACTGACTGCTGGGCATCTCCGAGGCCGTCCGTCTACGCACCCGCTCACGCATCCGCTGCTGATCGCATACCATGCACGGACCACTGCTGGAGTAAGCCAACAGACGGCGCAAAAATGCAATACAATACCAAGCTGCGGATGATCGCGGTATCACTGCTTCGCCAAGCCGCACCTCGTTAGTGTCGATCAACGACTAAATGCAGCGCAACGTTTGGGACATGGGCATCAAGCCGGGGGAGGTTGCATAGCGGACGGACTGGCGCTCACGGAGCACTGGGAGTCCGCCACCATTATGAATCCAAAGATACAAAGGAATGAGAGTGTCTAAAAACGAAAGACAAGTGTGTGGTCGTGGTTGTATGTGTTGGTGACAAACATCTCAAAAACTCAGCGGCTCAGCCTCTTGAAGTGTAGTGAGAAAGAGAGGAGGGGGGAAAAGAGGTCCAGCCGCTTAGAAGATGGTGCGGCGGCGGTGGCCGTTGAGGCCGCGCTTGTGCTGCTGCTCAGCCTCGAGCTTCTGGGCCTCCTCGGCGTAGGTCTCGAGCGAGCCGTCGGTGGCACCGTCGCAAGTGGGGTCGGCAATGTTGGCGACGGTCCACTGCTGGTTGGTGTTGGAGGGGACGCAGCGCCAGATCTGGACGTCGGCGCCCTCGGTGAAGTTGCCGTCCTTGACGTCGAAGCAGTAGTCGTTCTGGCTCCACTTGATCGTGTAGATGTTCTTGTCCTCCTTGCCCTCAACGGGGTCAAAGTCGAACACCTGGTTGTCCGAGGGGATGGCGCAGATCCAGTGCTGGAGGAGGTTGCCGTTGTGGGCCTTGCCGTCGGTGACGTCGATGCAGTGGTGGTGGGCGTCGTCCTGCTCCTCACCCTTCAGGTCCTCCTCGGTGAAAGCAGTGAGGTGAGCAGTCTTGGTGCTGTAAGTGTAGGCGGTGCCAGCACCGTTAGTGCACTTGGAAAGCTTGAGGCCGGAACCGTTGGTGGCGTTGTTCACGGCAAGACAGAGCTCGGGGGCGCTGATGGGGGAGATGGTGAAGGTGGCCTTTTGGATGTGTGTCAGCGGATGATAGATGGGAGGAAGGCGCGATCGGCCACGCGACGCGCGCGACTACTCACCTTCTCCTCGGCGGCGAAGGCAGGGACGGCGGCAACAGCGAGAGCAGCGATGAGAGCGAACATGTTGACTGGAAGGGCGTCGAGGTGATTAAAGAAAGAGAGAGGGGGGTATGAGACTAGAGTTTTGGAAAAGAGAGTGTTTGTCGAAAGTTGTCGGTTGAAAGAGTAAGAAGAAGAAAGAGAATGCTGGTTTTAATAATGGACGAGGAAAGACGGATGCGCGGCGAGGGGGTGATGGACAGGGAGGGGGACTGGAGAGTCGAGAGAGACTGGTAGGGCCCAGGTCCGAGGCCGCCAGAGCCTAAGCCAGGGCGAGGCGTTGTTGGTGTTCCAAGCCCATGGAAGTGCCCAGCCAAGGAGCAAGGCAGACTAGCTTCACAGTGCAGCCTGTGGTATAGGCCGTATAGGAGGGCTCGGTAAGGACGTCGTTGGCCAAGAGGTCACTGAAAACGAACGGGTTGACACAAGTGAACGAGGTAATGCCAGGGTCCCAGGGACGGACGGGTGGACCTGAAGCGCGAGGTGCCGTGGTGCAGCCTATGAGGAGCGAGCCGGTGAGTGGGATCGCGTCCGACAGATGCCCTCGAAGGCCTCGAGTGCTAAGTATGGAGTGCACCTGGTTGCAAGTCCTTAGCAGGATTCAGCCTGGCAGCACTAAAGCCTGACAAGAGGTACGAGGCCGGCTGGGGTGTCCGGGTTGTCCGGCAGCACGAACCCACCCAATTCTAAGGCCCGACCGTCCCTAAAAGGACTTCAGGCCCGTGGCACCCCCCGATTCAGGGGGAGAGTTTTGTTATGCCTCGCCGTTGTTTGCAACGCGCCCATACAGCGAGTTATATTAGGACCATTAAAGCGCACTCGTAATCCTTCATCAACAAGTGATCAAACACCTCATTAGGATTCATTGAATAGACCGCACCAGGGTTATCCAACGGGCCACGCACGAGGAAAGGTTTGGCTTAGGGTTAGGTCTCGGCATCCCGCCAAGCTAACGCCCTGCTAATTTCCTGAAGGGGCAAGTCCACTGCAGTCCCCTTGGCACTCGGCCAACAGCAGCACCACCCATTTTGGTGACCACGTCAGTCTCGGCGACATGCATGCTGGACCACGCCGGGGTTCTCGTCTGCGTGCACATCAGATCTCTTCTGCGAATGATTGTGGCGATTTCGACGGTTAATGCACAAGTTGAAAGATGTCGATGGAGCAATGGATGTGTTGGGAAACTCAGTTGCAAGATGAAACACCGGAAGCGACGCGTAGGCACGCCGAGGAGGAATGAATTACCGTAACGGGGAATTCTAACCCACTCGGGACCTGGAGGGCAGCCGGGACACAACGCGTGCGGTGATGAATCGAGGACCAGCGTGGTGAGCGGTGCATGCCCACACTTGGAGCTCCAGGAGCTCCTCATCAACAAGCTTCAAGCGCAACCGAGTGCAGTGCACAGCGCACATTACGGGCACGCGGGGTGGGCTTGTCACTGGACCGCTGGTCAGAGGTGCGTCATACAGTCGCGAGAGCCTGCCGATTGCGTTCTGTTGGCAGCTGGTGCTGGCGGGTAATCTCTTTGCCCATCCATTCAGCATGTAGAGCGCCACCATGCATTCGCTACCTGAGACTGCACTGTCCTCAACCACAAATGCGGCAGCGTACTGGCTCGCATGCATGCCGAAATCTGCGCAACAGGATGCTCCAACCTGACGGCGGGCATGTCGCAGGTTAGAGGTACCAGGTGTCGGAACATACTGCCAGCCTTCACCTAAACCCTCTCGTACCTCTGTACGTTTGCACCACAGCTGACAGGTACCAGCGCACAGAGCACGACCTTAGCACCGTTACACACTACCTGGCTAGATCGTCACTTCCGCCCCCCCACCGCCTTCTCCCACACTGCTGCTGCGCTCGTGCGCACCCCAGCGTCCAGCCTCCCTTCATAACCTCTTGTTCATCAACATGCATCTCTTCTCCACTTTTCAACGACCACACCCCCAATCGCCCCCTTCAGATCTCACGAGTGTCTGTGCTCTGGAAGCATACGCCTCATCTTGCAAGAGCTGGCTCTCACCTTTGTCCTCGTCTGTTGATCAGTCTAATACTTTCTGCTCCCATCGTCTGCCAGCGCCGGCCGCTCAGACCCCTCCTCCCCGTCACCCTTGCCGCCTTAGCAGCACCGCCATCCTCAAACGCGGCTTCTCCTTCCTTCCATCACTCCCGAACTCTTGTCCTGGTGTTAAAATAACAGCATCCACCTCTTGGCCGTCCAAGTTGCTTGTTGTCTTTGCTCAATATGCCCGACCCATTCGGAAGCTTTGGCTGGATTTGTGAGTAAACAAACAACACACTGACCGTGTCATCCGACCTTCCGCCGCCCACAAACACACAAACACAGCTAACCCCCAGGCCAACACACTGCGCTCCCGCAGTGCAACCTTCTGTTCAACCAGATCTGGCAGAATGCGACTGACCTGGAGGTCCTCTTCCCGGCTAACTCGACGTTCTACCACAACTACACCATCGTGAGTGCTGGCTCTCTGACGTTGCTACCGAGCCTCCAACTGACGGAAGACCCCGAGCACTTCGCCCGATGAGCCCAAAGCCGCCGCTGCCCGACGAGACGCCGGCTCGGGCCTCGGCAATGACTGTGTTATTCCGCGGGTAACGACCCAGAACAGCCTGGGTGACATCGGTAAGCTGCATCTATGGCTGTGTCAGCTAATGGCAGCCACTGTCGTTGTGTCGTTCGTGTCTCTGCTGATGGTGTTCGCGCTGCTGTTCCTGTCGAAGCGCCGACGAGCCGCCGTTGGCCGCTCGGAGCTTCAGATTTTCTTGATTGTCAGTTCTAAACGTCGCCTGAGAACTGACAAGCAGGGTTTCGGATTCATGTCAGCCCTGCAGGCGGTGACTATGTCGTCTATGCTCGAGCAGGCGAGTCAGCCGCTCGTCATTCTGTCCGCGATCCACTGTGCGGCCATCGCGGCCGTCGCCTGGATGCTCGTGTACAACGGTATCATCGCTACTCAGGTTCTGGAGTGAGTCGGCCGTGGAATGTCGCAGCTAACCACCAGGGACGGCTCCCTCCCCTCGCTGCTCAGTATGGGTCTCATCTCGGCCGCCTTCTTCGGTGGAACGTGCTACGTCGCCCTCGCTGTTGGGTTTAACTACAACGACGCCTTCTTCGTCGGTGCCGAGCACCCCGAGCAGCTTAAGAGTATCGCCCTCTTTGTCTTAACAATGATTTGGCCCGCAGCGTAAGCTCTTCCACCGGGTGTTCGAGCTAACATACCAGGGCCGTTGTAATCTACCTCCTCATCATGATCTACGTCACCTTCCTCAAGCTGAAAGAGGCGAAGCCTGCCATCATCCTGATCGCAGGATTCGTGCTCTTTGCTGGTGGACAGGTGGTGCAGTTCCTCGCTTCGCAGCCGCTCTGCCGGGCATCGCACAGCAAGGTGAACGGCTCGTTCCTCATGTCGTTTGCGATGGACCTCGCCGTTGGTCTCGTCTTTTTCGCGTGGCTCACGATCACGGAGGAGGACTGGGACGACCACATGTGGTACGCCTAAGTACGTGAGGTCGTGCGCGAGTGAGTGCCATGCGCGAGTGAGTGCCAAAAGGTGTGAGCTTGCAAACGGCAAGCTATAGATCATGAGGTTTCTGGTTCTGTAGTAGAGTAGATTCTGTCTTTCCCTATCTTGTTACGACCCGATATGCATTCTGATGTTGTTGACATTGCACAGCGGTGCTGACTGGCTGCGATAAGATCGACGCTGGACGATATGACGTCGCCGAACTAGGTCATGATGAGGGGCCAATGTCCGCTGAATGGAGGCTCAATGTCATGACGGCAGGCATCAGGCTCAGCTCATGGGTCTGAATTTCGGGTGCAATTCAGGCATTCTGGGTGCGATCAGCCGTTCAAGCTGTGGGGAACCAGTCGTCGCGGCGTCCTCCGCCATCACACGTGGGCGAGGAAAGTGTCCGCCGAGATCTCCCCATCACTGTCGATGCATCGGATCCTCATAAAGGAGAGGAGGGAATGACGCTGTGAAATGGCCGTGTCTTTTGTATGGAGGCCGACGGGCGAGCGGCGACAGAACACAGTCATCAATGGGCTTCTCTATGCATGGAAAGCAAAGCCATGCTAGCGCACGGGCCCATGCAGTGGTTGTCAGGGTTCCGCCGCTGGCCGCTGACGCGCTGTGCGTAGTGAGTGCCCGGATAAGCCGTTTTCGGCCTGGCCGGCTTGTCATAATCCACGGGCCACGGGTCCATGGTCGATCGAAAGTCAGTCCGCGCCCCGCAGTATCTCATCGCGCCATCGACTGGCCACGAGATATTAGCTCTCTCGCTCGCGAGCAAGATTTCACCCACGCTCAACACTCACACACGTACACAACATTTACTCCAACTTGCATTCGCTCCACCTTCCAGTCAAGCATAGCATAACACCACTGCAACATAAATCATTCTTTGCATCAAGATACGACTACTACGTAAACGACACGACCATCACGACATTCCTCAGTACTCACCTCACACACCCGACCCGGTAACCGGAACGCCTTGCAGACCGAGGTCGCCCAAATTTCCACCCACCCGCACACAAACAAACTCGACACTACGTCTGTCGCGCGGCTGACGCAACGCTGCAGCGACGCAACGACGCACACACACACACAAGCGACATAATGGGTGACGCGCCCTTACCGAGCACGAGCGCCGGACGGCCTAAGGTCGCCGTGATCGGTTCTGGTCTCGCGGGACTTACAACAGCGTACCTCCTGTCTGAGGCGGGACTCGAGGTCTGGCTCGTTGAGAAGGTACGTTACTCCGAGCCGACGCCTAGCGCAACGATGCTCTGACCCGTGTGACGCCGACAAATGGCACGAACGTCTTCACACCTCAGCTGACTCCAGCACTTGAAGCTGACATCAGGCGCCCCGTTTGGGCTTCTACTCGCACAGCGTCGAGCTCGACGCCGAGCCCGAAGACCCCTCGCTCTCACCTGTCTCCACCACCTCGTCTACACTCGCCCCGGCTCTTCCCATTGAGCGCCGCACATCTTCCACGTCCTCTGGCCGTCTCTCGCCCGTTCCGCCATCCGAGCCCATGGTCCGACGCAGCTCGGCAACCTCCTCTGGCCGTCTCTCCCCCGTCCCGCCCGACCCATGTCACGGCGCGTGAGTGGCGGCTCAGAGGCGGGGGACAAGTACGGCGACGTCTTTACCGGTCGCATCCTGACGCCGCCGCGGCGACGGCCGTCGAGCATCCTCGGCGCGAGCGAGGGAACCGTCGTCGACGTCCCCATGCGCTCCTTCCAGGGCGGGTACTATCCGCAGCTCCTCGCGCTCTACCGCCACCTCGGCTTCACGCCTAAGCCGTCCGCGTACACGTTCTCCTTCGCCGAGCTCGGGCAGCGCGCCTACTTCACATACGAGGGTGCGAGCGGCGCCTCCATCCCCTCATTACCAAGTGGCGCGTGGCGATCCCCACTCGCCCTCACTCGCGCGCTGATCGAGCTGCTACTCGCGGGCGTGTGCTACGTGCTCTTCCTCGCGTTGGCGTTTGCAATCTGGCACTCCCTGCTGCCGGAGCGTCTGCAGAAGGCGCCCTTTGGTGCCGTCATCGACGCAGCTGCCGAGAAGATCGACAAGCCCCTCCGTCTCCTGCCCCGCACACGGCTCGGCGGGCCGTTCCGCCGCTTCGTCTCCCGCCTCGTTATTCCCCTCTTCTCGGCCGTCGGCACCATGACGGTCCCCGATGTGCTGGCGGCGCCCGCAGAGCCGCTGCTCGACTACGTCCACGCCGGCGTCGGCACAGCGCACTACTCCCTCGGGGCGATCAGCTCGCGCGACGTCGCCATGGCGCTCGCGTCCCCGCCCGATCTCCGGCTGCGGCTGGGCATCTCGGTCGACTCGATCAGATACTCTGCCGGCAAACTCGTGCTGGGCTTGGACGGGAGGGAGGAGACGTTTGACCGCGTTGTGCTCGCCACGGAGGCTAGTGCTTCCTTGAAGCTGCTCGAGAGCCTCGAGTTCGACATGACGCTGGCGGGCAAGGGACGCGATCGCGGCCGGATTAGAAGGATTCAGAAGATCAGGAAGGAGGTGCTCCGCAGTGTGACCTATCGGGAGAGTATCGTCGTGACGCACACTGATGCCGAATCTGTAACTCCGCCGGGAGACGGGCGGATGATCAACCTCGTCCTCCCCCCCTCGTCCAAGGGGGCGAGTGTCTGGCCCCGTGCCGCCTATGAGAAAGCCGATGGCAGCAACAAGGGGTTAGAAGCACCCCACTTCGCCCCCGAGGCGGGCTACATCATGGCGACGCACGAGACGCGTGGCGTGCTGCAGACGACCAACCCGATCTGCCCCATCTCAGCCAGCAAAGTGTTGGGCGTGGCAAGGATGGAGCGCGCGCTGCCATTCAACTCGGACGCATTGCTGTCGCTGCTCACGCACCAGCCTGTGCCCTCCTCCTCGACTCCGCAGACATACCACGCGCGCGCGAATGGATCTGGATCCTCGCCCGATCCCTCCCCTCCCTCGTCCCTGTCCAAGTCCACGTCGCTGTCACGGAGCAACTCAGCAGCCTCCACGCTCTCCCGCACCGGATCTCTGAAGGAGAAGAGCGCAGAGGAGGAAGAAGACCTCGTGCATCTCGTGGGGAGCTATGCGTACCCTGGCATTCCGCTACTGGAGGGATGTGTAGGCAGCGCGAGACGGGTCGCGAGGGAGATTCTGGGGAGGGAGCCGGAGGTGGATTGGGATGCTGCAAGGGGTGGGATTGTGGGGAGGGCTTGGAGGTGGAGGAGGCGGGCGAGGGTTGGTGGTGTGCTTTAGCGAGCGGCGAGCGGAGCGAGCCGCGAGAAGGGCGACCGCAGCGGGCACAGTGAGCTCGACGTTGGCAGCGAGTCCGGCGAGCATGCACGCATGCCTTCGCGTGCTTCTCCTCACTTCTCAACCCTGTTGGCTTATTCCTCACTCCCCTTCTATGATCCCTACTGGACGATGTCCTTGTGTTTGGAGCCGGAACAGTGGCCTGAGTAGACGACCTGTATGCATTACGCGTATCGCGATAACAACCCGACATGGAGAAAGTAGGGGCGCAAGGCGGCGTGACAGGAACAGCGAGGGGTGGTCATGGACGATAAGGAGCGTTTCAGCTAGGGCATGCGGGGTGGTCAGTGCGCGGGTGAGCGTGGGTGAGTCAACCGTCCTTGATCTTGCGTCCTTCCTTCCCTCATTCTCTCATCCTCTCATTCCTCCTTCCTCCTTCCTCCTTCTCCGACCTCTGTATCTCTGCCCTCTCCCCTCCGCCATTTCCCCTCTGAACCCTCTAAACCCTCTGCAGCTCTGCCCACTCTCCTCCCCCATTCTCTGACATCTCTCCGCTTACTTCCCTCTCTAACCTCCCTCTGACACCGTCATCACATCTTCCTTGCTCTCTCATCTACTGCAAGCCCTGATTCAGCCAACGGCAAAGCGCCAAGGCGGGACAGAGGCAGGAGGCACAGTGAGCTGACCAACTCAACGTCTTCGAAGCTGACAGACAGACCCGCCCCAACGCGGCATATGTCCAGGAAGGAAGAACAAGAGGAGCCTTGCGATGCCCAGAAGTAAGCTAGCCACGATGTCAAGTTAGCTGACGACCAGACCGTAGCGCAAGTGAGCTTCCTCGCCAGCATCGAGGGCTGACGTTCAGCTTTCCCTGTGAATAGAGGTGAGCAGCTATCCTGTACGAACACGAGCTGACCAACAGAGTGTTGTGTGAGCTAGCTACCACAGGAGGAAAAGCTGACGTTCAGTTCTTCCATTCTGCTTGCCGTGGGCTTGTCCTGTAAGCTTCCGAGTCTTCCTCAGCGGTGAGCTGTTCGCAGGCCGCAGCTCTGCGCGGGTGAGCTGACATCTCTTGCGGGGAGCTGACGTCCAGACCTCCTTCCTTCCTGTGCTTCCTTCACTGGTGAAGCTGAGCTAGACCTCTGGTTGCTGGACGAGCTCTCTCGCTACCGAGTAGATCTGACGTCCAGCCTCTTCCATCTGTGTAAACTTGACCAGTGAGCTACACCGAACTCGAACAATAGCTGACACGCAGTTCGGACCGTGTGTCGGTGCACTTTGTCTTCTGTTCGTTGGGTAGCGTACAGCCCTGTGATACGCTGAGTGGTGAGCTGCGGGCATGGCGTAGGTGCTGACACCCAGCTCAACCTCAGCCCTGCCACTCTGGAATGATCTGCGGCTACATGGCTCTCTCTGATCCAGCTCACTCTCGACCCTTCTTCCTCTCACTTGGGTTGTGAAAGTATGCTCCTCTACGCATCGACTCAGCTGACGTCCAGCCGCGTCTCTGTCCATTTGTCACAGCTCTGTCTATGCGGGCGGTTAGCTCGAAAGCAGCGGGGTGAGCTGACACCTAGCCTCGCCCTTTGCCTCTGGAAGTACTTGAGAGGCTGACGAGTAAGCTAGCACCAATCGCGAAATGAGCTGATGGTTCAGATCTTTCACATTGGGTATCAGTACGCTGCTAACCTGTTACCCATAGCTGACGAACCGACCTCTCGGCCCCTCGTGGATTGCGACCTCGCTCACGAGATAATGACTGTTTGAGCCTTTGTTATCTGCGCAATGTGAGCTAGCAGTCGCTTGCAACTGATAGGCTGGCGCCAGATCGTTGATGAGCAGGAATGAACTGTGAGTCTCTTTGTAGGAAGCCGGCGTCCTCGCTTCACGCTCTCTCGCCACCAAAGCATTTAGGAGCAAACAGGCCAGCTACGGTGCACATAGACATATCTGACATACAGAGATACTGTATACCTCCCTACCATACCAAGTCGCAGCCTCAACTCGCACCCAGCCTGTCGCCTCGATGTGAGCTCCAGGATCCCCTTCCGAGCTAATGGCAGACAGCGTTGATCCTTGCCGAGGGGCAACCGCAAGGCTGGCTTCGAAGCCCCCAGCGACGGACAGCTCGACATTACCAACCTCTGCAGGCACGAGACAGGAAAGTGCTCGAGTGAGCTGGCGGTAGAAGGCATAGCTCACCCCAGGCCACACCTACAGGGTGCACTGCAGTGCGCAGCTCCGACGCAGCTCGGGTCTTAGCTGACACGCACTCGTACTTCGCTGCACGATCATTGAGATGCGATCAGCCGCGATGGCTTCAACCAGCCCACGTTCACTCTCCTTCCGCTTCAGCGAGGCATTTCAACAACAAGGCCAAACTTGAAACTAACACAGAGGGTACGTCGGCGACGCACGTTGTGAGCTACCTGCCTCCTTATTTACTGTAGCTAACGCACAGGCTGCCTCCTTTCCGTTTCTGCTGCCAAAGCTAGCTGAGGGTGAGCTGCAAAAATGTTACGGTGTCAAGCTGACATTCAGCTGTGATAGGATTTGCAGAATGAGCCAGGGCAGACGTTGTGCGCGTAGGTGAGCTGAGTGGAAGAGATCAGCAGCTGACGCTCAGCGCCTGGACTCAGCGTTTTCGCGTGGAGTTTCAATAGCCATCTACTGTAACCCATGTCACACTTCTTCAGTGAGAGCATGTGCCAACCACACCTTGTACCTTTGATGCAATGTTGAGGAACATCCCTGCCAGATTAGATCATAACCTTGCTGCATCGATGATACGGAAGGTTCTTGACATGAGCACAGCGAGTACTGACGAGCCGGGCCTCATCGTTCCTCGGTCCGACAGATGATGGCCACGTTTCCCTTTGTCGAGATCTTGGAGAGTTTGCATCCTTGTCACGACATCAACGTACAGTAGGGTGACGGACTCGTTACGACGGAACTGAGACGGAAGAGTTGCGTAAGAGATCCTCGGAAACAAGTGGATCGAGTGGCCGAAGGCAACGCCAACGATGAACATCGTCCGGTAAGCCTCTACTGTATGTATGAATGCTCCTCAGCACGGCAGTGCCTCGTCCAGAAAACAACAGCAGTAAGAGCTGTGCGCTGCACTGGATGTTTGGACATGGAGAAAAGCCTCAATAGGCGAGCGTGGAGGGAGGGAAACCGCCACACCCTCGGAACACCTCCGACCAACCTCCCACCCACCTCCGAACCTTCCGCAATGCTCCGTTTGCACCAAACATTGCACACCAGTGATATCGGGGTGCCGCCGGTACATGGCTTGCATAGCTTACATAGCTTGCATAGCTCCGATCTGGACCATGAGGCTGACGAGAATCACCACAGGACCTGCCGTAGACTTGCCCCTGCCTTTTGCGTAAATTACGGTACGCCTCTCGAGAGGCAGGGCACGCGCTCCGTGTGGCCGCGTGTGGAGTGGTAGTGGGCAGATGTCTGGATTTGGATCGCTCCAGACACTACACTGCTGATAGTCCCATCAGTCCCGATTTGCGAGCATTTTGTGATACACACAAGTGTGCGCTCGCTAGCCCACACCATCCAACCTCTGAGGAACCACCTAAGCCGTGGCACTCGCACCACCGCCATGGTTCAAACTTCAAACCCCGATCACTCCAGGCATTTTTACAGCGGGCCGGTTCCTGGGCCCTCCTTTTCGTGTTGTTCACAAGCTGCACAGGGGTGGTTCCTCCTTTACGTCAAGCCTGAAGCGCTACGGTGCTCTCGCTGAATGTCTAACCGCGGCGCCGATCGCGCACAGCCCTGTATGCCTGGAGGTCTGGACGCCTCGACGCGTGTGAAAGGCTTTGTGGCCTGGAAGAGCAGGCTCCGGGGTGGGGCATGCCCCCCCACAGCCCCCCACAGCTCATCACACTGGCAAGAATGCCTTCCCATTAGCAATGTGGGTTAGACAGGCCATCGAGGTCGATAGGTCCAGAGAGAGGGGAAATGATCGGCGTCTCGCTATTCTTGTGAAAGAATAGAGTTTGCGTAGAGGAAGTTGACCCCAAGAATGTACTCGCTCATCCGTCTGTCAATTTTCTTTGCGCTGAGAGAAGCTGGAATGTGACGCGATGGCCGGTCATTGAGCTGAAGGTGCGGTCGATGACTTTGTCTCGGGTTTGATTGTGGCGCATGATGAGGCTCAGCCAACCCATGGCCGGCCACAAGCGGCCGCCACCCGCGCTCAATCTACTGGGATAGTGAGGGTCGAATGGTAGCTTGTCCGTCTTCCGGATGATCGCAGCTCACTCTTGATTGTGACACAGAGACGCTGAATATTCCGTGTCGAATGTCAGAGGGATGTAGCGCAGGAGCTGCAAGCTCTGGCTCACTGCCGCCGTTACCGCGCAGAGGCCCGGCGAACCTCTGTCATATGGTTCCTCTCTGTTACATCGCTGCATACCGTTGCACGCAGTGACAGTGCAGTCGTCGCTACGAGCCGTTATGCCGCGCACCGCTTGCACGAGACACGAGCGAGACTCCCGGAACGTACCGCAGCATGGGTTTGCTGCCGAGGCGTCGATCCGAGGCCGCCAAGCGCCACCGGTGGGGTCCGACGGTGGACCAATAGGCCCGCCATTCACCTGCCGTCATCTTCGCGGTACGTTCTGTCGGCCTGGCCGGTTTGGGTACCGCTCCATACGTGTCAGAAGGTGAGTCGTGAGTTGAGCACATGAGTGGTTCGATGGTGAGGAGGCTTTTGAAATGGTAGTGGGTCTTCATTGAGAACGGCCGAAAAGACGGAGGCGAATCCTCGTGTGGGCAGGGTGAGTGCACTTGGTGCCTCTGGCGACGTCTTCAAAGCTGATGAAGGGGGATTTGGCACCACTTGAACCGTCTGTAGATGACCAATGAGAGTTTCGAGACCTGGAATGTCCGTTAGAGGGAGGTGAGGATGCTCGAGACACGCAGGTTGAAGTTCGATGGGCCAAGGTGAGCTTTACACAGAGAAATCCTCTCTAAAGTCC